CGATTTGATTTAAAAATCTAATCTAATCTGATTCAATCCAAATATATTCTAGTTTGGATTGTATGAATTTTTATTTATTTTAAGCATGGCTATGATATACATATTCATGAAAAAAATAAATTATTAATATCAATAATAATAATAATAATAATAAGAATAATAATAAATTCTTAATATGACTTAAAAAATAAAATAAAAAAGTAACAACTAACAATTTCAATTTTCAAGTACTTCCATAATCAATATATTCATTTTACAACACTATAAAATATCATTACAAATTAAAAAATGTTTGCATCAACTAATCAAGTGATTTTTGGTTCCATAGGGAAAAGATAGAGATTAGTTTTAATGTTTATGGCATAATAATGCATGGTCATTTAAGTAAGTAAGTGAAAATTATGAATATTGGACAGACATTTTAACTTGTTAAAAGAATTAAGACAAAAGTGAAAAAAATATATTTTAAATATAGGTGATAATTTAATTTTAATAATAGGTTAATATCAATATCTATTTGATTATAAGAAAGTTTTTGTTTGGTTTGGATTGAATTTGTTTTTCCTTATGATATATACACCTTTTTTTTATAAGTACACCTATTTTATTTATTTATTTTAAAAAATCCCTAAAATATCCTTTTATTTATTTATTTATTTATTTTATACCTCCAACTTTCAATTTACTTTTTTCTTTTTCTTTTCCACATATTTCATTCATTCTTCCTTTCAATTTTTACATGCATTTTCTTGTTTTTCTCCAATTTCTCACTTGTTTCAGTAAGTAGTTAAGTTCTCTTGGTTTTTACATTACTCTCTTCGCTTCTCACTTCTTTCACTTTTTCACATGTACTCAGACCATAGAACTGGTGGGCGACAACATTGTAGGTACATACGGCTTCCTTGACAGTTTTTGCTGAGCTAAATGCACATTTTTTTTCTTCCAAATACCTCCTCCCCTTTCTTACCTCCAAAAACACCTTAACATTAAATTTAGTGTTATAGAAAAAAAACTCAAAAAACTAATTTTTTACGTAAATAAAATTTTTTAAAAAAACATCTGTGCAACGAGTACCCATCGTGAACTTATCGCCACATATTTCATGCGTTAGAGTGATGAATTTTTTACATAAATAATATTTTTTTTTTTTAAATTACAAAAGTAACATCTGTGCAACTTTATTTACCCAACTAGAACCAATCACTGTTCATGCTCAGAATCCGGTTCCCCGGGAACCGAATTCTGAGCTTCAATTTTTTTTTTGTTTACAACTCAAAATTTGGTTCCCGAGAAACTGGGAACCGGATTCTGAGCTTCAATTTTTTTTTTTGTTTACAACTCAAAATTTGGTTCCCGAGAAACTGAATTCTGAGTTATTTTAATTAATTTTTTTTTCTGGGTTTGTGGCCCATTTTGGGCAAATGCTGGAAGCAGAACGGGCCGTTCTGCTTCCGGAACGGCCCGTTCCACTTTCAAGACTTGCACAGCCTGTGCCACAAACGCAAAAAAAAAAAAAAAAAAAACTCAAAATAACTCAAAATTCGGTTCCCCGGGAACCGAATTCTGAGTTGTAAAAAAAAATTATTGAAGCTCAGAATTCGGTTTCCGGGAAACCGAATTCTAAGCATGAACAGTGATTGGTTCTAGTTGGGTAAATAAAGTTGCACAGATGTTATTTTGGTAAAAAAAAATTTAAAAAAAATTTATTTACGTAAAAAATTCTTAAAGTGATAGTAATTTGAAATTTCATTTTTGTTATACAAGATTTGAAAGAGTTTTCATTTATTATGTGAGAAGCAAACTAATCCAAAATGATATTGTTTGTAAAATATTCTAATAAAAATGTAAGAAGAAATTAGTAATTCTTGAACTTTATTACACTATGATCACGGCAAACTGAAAGTCATTGGTCCGTCCAAAGATATAATAATTTAGTTGTATTTAGATGGAGAATTTAAATGGAATAATTAATTTATTTAAAAAAATTTAAATTTTTTGAAGTGAAACATTTTATTTTGATGAAAAATTTGTAAAGAATTTAAAATTTTATTATTTATAAAATTTCTTAAACTAGTAAAATTTTAAAAATTTTTAAAAAAAATAAGAATTTAAAATTTTTCATAATTTTTTTTTATTTTATTTATATATTTTATCTTTTTGTTCTCTCTTCATATTTTTAATTATTAAATGTTCAAAAATATTTTTAAAATTATTAAATATTATTAAATATTTATTTTAAAATTATTAAATATTTTAAAATTGATTATAATATTTATTTTATAAAATTTAATTTAAAAATATCAACATGCAAATATATTTTTAAAATCAATTTTATCATGATGAAATTAAATTATTCAAACAAATAATTTAAACTTTAAAAAATTTAAATTGACTTATTTAAATAGAATATTTTAAAAATAATAAAAATTGAATTAAAAGTAATTGAAACACCAAAATTTTTAAATTTTTTGAATTTATAAAAATTTTCATCCAAACACACCATTAATTTTCTTTGACTCATATCATGCACTTCCTCACACTCAAATTAGTTCAGTTTGAGGAAACCTTTTAAAATGGAGGTTTTTTTATAGCTCCTTTGTAAATAAATATTTTAGCCCTTAATATATCTTTTTATGCATCATAAGCCGTTGTTCATTTTTATGATGTTAGACTTCGTGTGCAGTACAGGTTCGAGGCTTGTACAAGGCAATTCATGTTTTACATTTTAGAATTCATATATATTTTATTAAAAACACATTTATTTTTTTTAATCTGATTGCAAAAATGAAAGCATATGCCAAAAATTAATAACACCTTATTTACGGGTATGTTTGCCACCCACAACATGGGGAGTTAGGCAAATAGGACTTTGTGCCGATTCAGGTGATGATCGGGATGATAATATTGTCAACAGGGTTTGGTCTCACCACTGTGTGACAACAACCGAAGGCACAAAAGCAGTGGAGGGAGATGATGGAGGAAGTTAACAGATATGTCTATTAAAATAATGATAATAAAAGTTTAAATATTAATTGACATAATTGTATAATATGAATTCGTATAATATATGAATACATATTTAAAAAAAAAAAGTTTCACATTGTTAGTCTTTATATATTAAAATATTTCTTACATTTTTAAATAGATAAATAATGAGTGTTAGACTTGTGTATATGAGAATGAACTTTCTAAATTCATTATAGATTATTTAATTTAACTGGGGTAAACTTATCTTATTTAGAATATAACTGTTTCAAATGTTGACTCAATCTTGAAAATTTTATACATTTTATTCTAAGATGTTGTTTTTATAAATTTGATTTGATCTTTTTAATGTTTCGTATGACGTGTTAATTTATTTAAAAAATTATTTTATATTAATAATGTTAATTAAGTTAATAAGATTAATTTTTTAAAATTCAATAAAATTATTTTAAAATACATCACTATATGTTATTTTTTAATTTGCATGATAAAATATAGTTTAATTAATATTATTAAAAATTAAATTTTGAAATATATACAATGTTACAAAGAGGGAAAAAAGTGAATTATTTTCTGTTAAAAAGACTATGCGTAACTATGTTAGCGTATTTGTAAGTCTATAAATTTATAATAAAAAATAATCATCATTTAAAAAATATTTAAATATTTTTTATATCTAATTTGATATATTGTAAATAATCGAGTCATATTTTAAGAAATTAAAATAGTTATGATAACAATTTACAAACTAAAAAAATATTCATTGTACATGAGGTAATCTCAGAAATAACAGAGACATATACAAAGTAACAAAAAGAGAATAGATGTTATTACTTTTTATTACAAGAACAATGTATGTACATCCATGAATATTGATAATCACTCCCATAGTATGGTAAAAGAGGATAATTTTATTCAAATAATATATATATATATATATATATTATTTTTTATTATATAAATAAATAGACTAACCTATCAAGTCTAATAGAATTTTTTATAAGTCTAAATCCAACTTTTTTAAATAAGTAATTTTTTTTAATTTAAAATTAACTTTTTTATTAAATAAATCAAATCAAACTTTAAAAAAGTCAGATCATTTACTTATATTTAAATTCGACCTATTTTCATCCCTAATTAACCTCAATAGTGTTGGAGCCAATAATCTTCTTTTGTTGTTCTCTTTTTCTTCTTTATAATTTTTTATTTTATTTTTCTCTGTTTGACCTTCCGTCCACTAAGAGCATGTAGTGCTTATAATAAGTTGTATGTTTAAAACAACTTAAACTTATGAATATTTTTTTTTCTACTTAAAAATAAGTTATTTTAAAATTTTGAAAATTAGAAAAATATGATTATTTTTTATAATATTTTTTTAAGTTAATTTACTGTATAAAAATTAATTTTTTTATTATATTTAAATAAAATTAAACACATCAAAAAAATTTCAACAAAATATATTTAAATAAATTTTTATTTTTATTATAATTAATAATAATAATAATAATAATAATAATAATAATAATCAATTACTTTAATCCAATCATTGAAATAATCTAATTTCATTGTGTACCGGCATACTACGAATTTACTGCAAAACCACCATAAGCAAAAACAAAACCATAGCGATCCACCGTGTATAGAGCATCTCAAATGCATGTCAAACAAAAGAAAACCAAACCATCGCCAAACCACCGTGAACCAAAACGAACCCCACCCCAAAGCGAAATGATACCATGACCAACACCCACTAGGAACCACCACGAATACACCGGAGCATCCAAAACACATGACAAGCACCGTACCCACAGCACGGAGGGTTTAGGAGCAGGAAAAAAAAAAAAAAAATCTGAACCATTTATTAGAAAAGAAATAAATTTAACGGCAGCTTCCTGTATGTTTCCCACGGTGGGAAATGTCTCCCACCTTCGTCAGCGTCTATACTTAAAGGGTCCAAACTGCAAACTACTGACCCTTTGTGTTACATTGCAAACAATACGGTAGGAAGAAGCACCATAAAAAGAAAATTGTGTTGCAGCAAAATTTCAATGCATGCCTCAGCTTGATAAAGTCTACAATTTTCTCGTCAGCGGTTCAATACATTAATATTTTGTATATAGGTTTTTTTTTGCTCTCCAATACTATGTCATCAACAGATGTTTTGTATAAACAATAACAGAAAAACTTCCGGAAATATCAATTGGGCACCAATGGCTGAACTCCGTTAATCTGTAGTTACCCCTTCAATTTCGCTGCTAACATCTAAAAGAATGAACAGATTACTAGATCTAGAAAGGAATTATATTGCTATTATCTGCGTGGTTTTCAAGGCAGTTTGCAACTGAAAAGAACAATCTTCAACTGACACTGATCTCCAGACAAATTGTGTATGAGTTTCCCGCATAAGGGATGTGCTTGTGATCGTCCAATCAAGCCAAGGAGCATACCTTGTCTGAAAATGGGCACAGGTAAGTTATAAAAGTTTTATAATAAAAGGTAAAGTTGAGTTGGTGAAAAACGAAAATGTATTTGAAATCTTCAACAAAAAGTGTGAAGCAAGACAAATCAATTATTCTTTTCTAGATTTCATTTTGCCCAATTACATTTTCATTTTCTACCAACTCCAGTTCAAAATAGTTGAGAAACCTGGAAGGAAACACATCCCTTCTCCACCCCTTTTCCCGAGTTAAATGCAATAAAATAATCACTGCAAAACATGAGAACTGGGATCTCACCTTGATTGATACTACCGCAGCAAAGCCGACTGTCATCTATGTAAGTTGCTTGGATGCCCATCATCCATGATCCCAACGATGTATCATCAAAGGCATAGGTCTTCAAAGATACACTATGTTTTTGGGGATGAAACACAAAATATTAATCACATATTAAGAAAAAATACAAGAGAGGAAAAGGGCACAGTTGGTTCATTTTTGTTTTTGTAATAAATACTATAATATAGCCTTATTTTTACATTGTTTCCTGTTTTCAAGTATTTGTACAGGAAACAAGATCTTGTAATTTTCACTATTTCCTGAAAAGATTCTTAAAAAGCAGGAAACAAAGTGAAAAGTAACAACCATGTGGCATGTATGTAATTATCACTGAAAACATATTAACTGAATGAGAACAAAATACAAATGCATACTAGGTATCCTCCAAAAGAAACCATGAAGTTAAAAGCACATATCCTGAAAGAAATCCACAAAAAATGCACAAACGTATACACCTAATTTCTAAAGGTGGACCAATTTGTACTCAGTAGAAAGGACATCATGGATATTATAGGAGACATCTTTCCCTGGAAGGGGAATCTCAAAACGGTACATCTCAACCTTTCACCCTTCAGCGCCACCCAAAACCACCGAACCACACCCCACCTTTAGGACATGCTTTGCTTGAGTATGGAAAATAGAAAAACAAATGCGATAGAAAAGTTACAGTTTACTTTGTTGTTTGGTAGAAATTAAAAATCATTTGAGCTCAATTTTATGCTGAAATTTGCAAGGTGAGCACTCCACCTTCAAGTTTTAACAGTCATTTTATTTTTTCTGTACCAAGAAAATATGAAGTGACTTTATTTTCACATCAAGAGTGACAGATCTTCAAGCAGAGTGATGATAGATGGATAGGTATGTATGGAGTTGGATTAACCTTCAATGGTTTTATGGACCTACTGCAGAGTTTTGAAAATACACCAGCTAAAACATAAAAAAGATGAAAAATAATGATTAACAAGATTTTGTATTTGGATTCAGCCAGAAAATTTGAAAGTCAAAAATTAAGTACTTCCAATAAATCTTTACCAATAAATTTAGTGTCTAGTGTGATCCTATGAACACAAATATAAAAAGAAAACTAAGTAGCTATAGCCCAAATACCAGATATGAACATGGTTTAGTACAACAATCAATTAATATCCAAACCCTCCTCTTTATCAAGTTCCTCAAATATGGGTATCTAAGCCAGAGGCCATGCTTTGTCATCCTAAATGCTGAATTAAGGCACCCATACCACAACCACAGCTGCCTACTTCAGTTTCTAAGCTTCCTCCAAAGATATGACATTGAGAACTAACCTGTTTATATTAATGTATTGTGCCAAATTCTTTGAAATTATAACAAGTGAACCAGCCGCATGTCGGAAATACCTACAGACAGAAATAATTAAATAGTGATTCACACAAGAAAAAACAAAACAATTCAATGGAGATTCAAACTACTGAAAAGTTATAACATCACACCAATGAACTATAAAATAGAAGATAGTGACACATAATTTTCATAATGTTAAATATTAAGATACTATATTAGTTAAGGGGGATTTGGCAGATAAAAGAATTCTACCTTCTAAAATATCTACAGTACTTTTGTTTGGAGTGTTATAAAATTAGCAGAATAACATGTCATCCAAAGATCTACTAAGGTATAAAGAAAATATTACTTATCAATGTTTGCATGACAACTAGTTTTACTGCAGTGTTGAATACAATGAATAAAGAAAAAGTAAAAACTAACATTAAACAAAAAATTTGAAGAAAAAAAATACTGTCCTATCCATTTGAATTGGAATAAATGACAAAAAGATTAATAAGTATTTATAAGAACAACCCATTAGACTCTAGATGGATTGTGGCATTACTTCCAATTTTTCACATCATAACATAACTAATGACATGTTAGTAAAAAAAGACTAAAGCTAAAACCATATGATGCCACTAATCAATGCTTATATACACAGGCAAGAAAATTAAACTTTATTTTCAATCATCAATTGCATAATCAGATCACAATCACAGTTTTCATTATTTAGTGATATGTGATTGAAACAGTTTATGTAATCATTAAAGTTATTTGTTTCAACAATCCAATACTTGGCAAAGTGATAAAAGCATAAGTATATGTTTAATATGCCTAAGTCACAAATAATTGTTCCCTCTAATTTTTGTTAGCACTGATGCAGTGATGTCATATATTGTGAAGATCATTCATTTACCTTTTCAATGATACAACTAGAAAAAATAATGAAATGGTTTCAATTTAAGACAATAACATTGAAAACCATTCAGGTATTAATTAAAAAAAAATAACAAATCTTTTTGTGCAAAAGATATAGTACTTACGATTTTTCATCCCCAAATTTCCACCATTCAGGTTCGTACCATGGCTTTCCACTGAAAAACACTCAAAATAAGATGACTATTAGTTAAATCCAAAACCTCAACCACAGGATTCAACATATGAAAATTTATTGAAAAATAACATTGAATTATGATGAACAAGAAAATAACAAGCAACGAGTACATATCACTGTAGGTAGGAAGAAAGGTTAGGCAGATAAAAATTTGAAGTCAACTAAGTTATTAGAATCCAACACATGCAAAAAGGCATCCACATCTGATGGGCATTGCAAGCTCTAAACTCCAGCATATACAAATTTGTTTAGCAAGAATAGGGCAGGCCTAAGGTCTTAAAAAGGGGTGAAATTTAAGAAAATCTACAGCATCCATAGATGGGGTTAACTTCAGATAAAAACACTGCAAAAATATTCAATATAAAATAGATAATAATGAATAAGTTTTAACACATGTCCCATTCAGAAGCATGAACAATGTCAGACAGCTTTTAACATAATCAGAACCATTTATACCACATAAAATTGTCCAATATATCCACAAATCAATTATCAATTTATCATATACATATATAAAATCACAATAAACTCGGATTAAGAAAGTACTCTTCTGATATCACTTCTCCTGATTTCATGCATCCAATATATGCCCCATCCTGACCACGGCGACGGTCAAGAAGTTCAATTAAACCCTCTGCAAGGCCATTGAACACAATAGAGAATGTCTCAATTCACATTGAGGAAAAATAGTTTTTCAACAAAATCTCCTAAATAAGAATATATAAGCAATTTTTTACCCAGATCAATATCAATGCTATCTTCAACTTTAACATAAAAATCAGCATCCCAGTTCTGAACTGCAGTACTAAAGAAGGTTTTTACTTTTTTAGGCAACTCTTCTTGAGCTTCCTCATGGCCTTCCTGATATATTTAAAACAAATGGTTAAGATCTACACTTAGGTTGCTTAACGAGATACAATAACAAGAAAGCATGTTCAAATGAGTGTCAATATACTTTAAATAAAAAATAATCAATAAACACAATGGTCAAGCTGCCCCCCCCCCCCCCCCCCCCCCCCCCAGCCTCCCCCCCCCCCCCCACCCTCACACAAACACAAAGTAGAGTTTTGGTTGTTTACTCTGCACATCAATGTTTCAAGCTCACCAAGGAACAAAAATATTTAAGAAAACACAGCTTTAAATATAGGAAAATATTATCAGCTTGCAATCACACATAAGGTACCCGTGGGTACATGGCTTAATTAAGTGCCTATTTTATAAGCATATCACATTAGAATTATATCATAAGCTTAATCATGAACATGAAACTTCCAGAAATATGCTTCCTGTCCACTCACCTTACCCAAGGTAAAAGATTGAACGGATTCAAATTACAACAAAACTAAACTATTTTGCTTACAAGAATCAGGAAATCCTTTGTTGAGCGATTTTCCTCATCAATATTGCGATCTAAGCTATCACCTCGATTCGCACTGTCAATTACAAAGTATTAGGTCATAAATAAGTTTGAACACTTGATAGTTATCTTATAGACTACTGGATCAATGCCAAGGGAAATAAAGAAGATAAATAAATAACCATTATAGCTTAAAAAGAAATCATGTGAGCATTATAGTAGCTAATAAGGATAAGTAAGTGGAGAAACCTCCGACCAATAACAAAACGTATGACCACTCCTCTTTCTTCAAGTTTTTTCAAGGCATCACCTGTCAGGGAAGACAAGATGTTAGTGATTTGGGAATATAGAATTGAACCAAAAAGATAACCATCTACGAAATTGTCAAATGTTTACATATTGTCATTCATAAAGTGTAAGCAATATATCAAATTTTGTTATGTAACTTACCAAACCAAAATGATTATGAACATGTTCATGAGTTACATGTACATCAGGTAAAGCAAGCAATATGCAAATCAATCCCAAATTCAAACAGAAGCATAAAATCACTCTCAAATTACAATTAGAAAAACAAATGCTTTGTTAACCAATTATCAAAACCACTATCTTCTACCAAAACAAACCATGAAAATACTCATAGTCTCCACTCAGCCAATGAATCTGATCCCATCCCAATAAAGACAAATCAAAAGAGTGTCGAGCCTTATATCAAGTGGCACCAAGTCCCTTTGGGTCAAGACCAATTCCCACTGAAACTACTTTTTTTTGTATCAGTAGGAACCGAACACGGTACCAAGGGGTTACAACAACTCAGGCACACTGCTAAACCAACTGAGCTAAGCCCCCTTATCGTACGGAAACCACTTTGCCTCTACTTTACCCTACCCACCTGCTCACCAAGCCCAAGTCTCATACCTCATCCAAACCAAAAACGCAAACAAATGACTAGCGCAAAAACGTTTACAAAAGCCTAGTATTTTTTTTTTTTAACCAAAGTCAAAAACAGACCTTTGGGCATCCAGGACCCCCTGAAAACATTTCTCTTCAATCGACTTCCAAATCCAGTATACACTCCAATAACAGCAAGCAGCCTACGATCAGAAGAAGAGCCACTTTTCTGGCCCTGCCCCTTCAGGTACCCTTGGCTCTTAGCCAATGTCAACTCCATCTCTGCTTCCACAATCCTCCTCTCCAGATCCCTATAAAATAGCAACAAACACACACACACATGAATTTCAATTCCACGATCCATCCACAATATTACCACACAAACAAGACATCATCAAACAATACAAATCATCCCAACATAAAATTTAAATAAAAAATTAGGAAGAATTTACCTGCACCCTAGCACCATTAGCTTATCCTCTACTGTAAGAACCTTAGGCCTCTAGTAACCAAAAAACAAAACATATAAATTCGTAAACTAAATTGAATTATAAAATCAGCACAGAGCAAAATTATAAATAAAATAAAATAAAAACACTGAAATTTAAAATAAAATAAAAAAAATTAATTAAAATAAAGGAAAGAAATACCTGAGCTGAATTCTTCTTCAGAAGACCAGCGAGTAAATTTCGGTTCTCTGCGTCTTGCCATAACCTAACCACTCCCAAACCATAGCAAATCCGTTACGTTCAAAACAAACAGCAGAATCGCGTCACGAATCACAAATCCACGAAGACTTATTGGACGGATCCAAAAGCGATTCGGAGAAAACGAATTGGACAAAAAGGATAACAAACGAAGTGCGTTTGCACGTACGTACCTTCCGGCGACGTAAAGCCAAGCGACGCACGAGAAGAAGGCCATGACGAGGGCCGATTTCGAGGCCTGAACGGGCTTCGATCTCCCTCCTCCTCGCTTCGTCGTCGGCAACGTCTCCATCTCCGACGAACGCTCTCCAATCGGTGCGCTTCGCAAACTCGATCACTGTTCGGTGATAACAGACAATGACTCTGTTTTCAATTCAAGTTTTTATTTCCTTCGTAACTGATACTGTAATATAACGCGCTTCTTACCACTGCTATTGTAATCTGGTTTTACTCTGTTTACTTCATTTAAGAGGGGAAATGAAATTCCCACATTTTCTCCTTTTTCTTATTTTATTTTATGTTGTGAAAACAAATTACATAACCAATAATATAATTTTCAAACTGACTAATGTAAAATTTAATAAATTTATTATTTTTTTTTTTTTAATTCATAGCAGCTTGTATTTAAATAATAATATTTCTTTACTCTATTAATTAGTATATGATTCAAATTTTGTTTATAAAGTCGTGCTTATTGAATAACCTTCTCAGTAAAATCTGTAAGCCCTTTAAAAAAATTTCTTGCATAAAATATTAGTCTCTAGTTCTGATCTTTAAGTTTGCCCAAAAACAAGAAAAAAAATAAAATCTTCTTTTTATGAGTAAGAAAAAATAAAATCTGTTTATACATGTAGTGTGTAGACTGTGGACTGTTTTCTCAAAACATATTTTATCAAATATAATTAATATACTTTGCAATTAATTATAATGAGTTTTTATTTGACAAAAAATTGTGTACTTCTCTCCTGTGCGATCTTTAATAACATGAGAAGATCCGAATTTATTAAAAAAAGAAAATATTTACAGGTACATGGTAAGAAATAAAAAAATAAAATAAAATAAAATAAAATAAAAAGAAATTAACTACCTAAACATTCCTCACCGGGTCATTTTAGTTAATAAGGAATTCAAGTCAACACAGATTTTATTTCTTTTTTTTTAATTTATTATCAAAGAACATTTTTCGTTAAATATGGAAACTAATCTCTTTAAAAATTAGATGAATATTAAATAAATAAATATCTATTTTCAACTTAAATTTTTTATACATAAAAATCAAAATTTCAACTTCAACAACTTATTAAATGACAAAAGTCACTTTCCACACACAAATTCCATTTGATACAATTGGGAAACTTTATAATTCAAGGCAAATAAAAGTTATTAAAGGGAATAAGATGAGTATCCTCATAATAAATAGGGAGAGATTTTTCTTTTATCAATAGAAATTATAAAAACGACAACCTAGTTCAATGTGCATACTACTCTATATTTCTACTATTAGGACGATCTATGGTTCGAATTACAATAATAATAGCATTATTCACTTTTACAAAATTGGTTGTAAAATCGATTTTATTATTTTGTATGAAAACACTTTAAAATCGAGTGTGAACCAATTTTAAATATCACATACAAAATTGGTTGTTAATAACAAATTTTAAATGTACATACACAAAAAAAAATTACCTCACACCCTGCTATTAGATGTCAAATTTATTTGAATTGGTTATGTATAGAGGAAGACAGGTAGCTTGATTACCAAGCCTTTTTTGGTTTAAATCTCTAAATTAGTTAACTTTATATAAGTAATATAATTTGTAAATAAATTTTTATATTTATAACTATTTAGCTAATTAATAATAATTTTTTAATGTGCTAGGTGCAACTTATATCAAGTAGAAAAACTAAAAGTTGGGAGAAGAATATAACAAGATCACATTTTGAAGGCAAAATAGAGAGGGGAAGCAAAAAAGTGAAAAATTGGTCAAGCCAAGTGTTTGTGGCCCAACCAAATTGAGGCAGCAAGCTCCAAATTCCAACTAGAGTATAATTGGTTGGGCAAAATTATTACTTTAGGATTAAGAAACCATAAATTCTCCCAAAAAAATTAATTTGGCTACGTGAATTTCTTATTTCAAGATGAAGCTTCAAAATTTGTTCGCTAAATAAAGGTATCAAACGAGTTTAGATGAGTTAGCTCAACCTAACCTACTAGGTCAAATGTTATTTTAGGTTAGGTTGATCTAACTTATATATTTTTTGGGTTGCCATTATTTTGGTCAAATTTTGCCCATGTTAGGCCGTCAGGCCATCAAGCCAAATTTGTCTAATTAAAAAATACATTAAAAGAATTAAATCTATTTCTTTATAATGAAAAAATAAAAAAAAATTATAATATGATTAGTTGATACTATATATTAGTTACAAATAAGTAATCAATCAATCACAGTCATATAGTCTTTGGTAGTTATAGATGTCTATACATCACAAGTCAAACATATTTTACCCAAAACAATAGTTAACACTTGTTTTAGCTTTTCATTTTCAATTAAAAACACTTTATTGACATGTTTCTATATTTGAGTTTAAAATTAGGATTTAACACTTTATTCACCGTCTAAACTCCTTCAAATTCAAAATAACTATATGAAAGATCATGCATGATAATACACTTAACAAGTGCATCTCTATAAGTCTTAGGATCAATTTTTCATTGCTTTAATGAACTAGCTTTGTTATCCAACATGACGCAAACATCTTTGTACTTAAGAGATCTAATACATTTAATAATATAACATCTAAAATGATTAGTACCTAAAATGGGAGTAGACAAACTATCACAATGATTACTTCTAACTCTAAGCTTGTAATCATGACCCCGTAAGCGAACACAACAGAGTAAAAGACTATTATTATTATATTTTATTATGTTATTTTACAATACATTATAGATTTACAAATCGACAATGACAATAGTTCATATTATTTTACTTATTATTTTAACAGACCATCCCACTAGGGCTTGTTTGGCTTGTTAGGCTTAGCGGGTTGGGCCAAAGTAACCTAATTCTATTTAGGTCATTCTTTTTAAGGCTCAACTCGACTTGATTACATCTAACCTATTGGGCTGAGCTCAAATTGACAGTTCTACTAATGAATTTATTTGGATGAGTGATTTTAGCATAAAACAAGGCATTTTCTTCTATTATAAGAGGAAAAGAATCATATTTGAAAGAGGGCTTGTAACACCCCTCATATTTGACATCTTAGTGACTCCACTTCATGATACTTCACACAACTCCTTATTGGTCAGAACTCTTCACCGGCCAGAATCATCTATGAGTAGCCTTTTTTCTAAGATGCTTGACTTCCTCTAAAATCAACAATTGTCCCCATAAATCAACACAAAAAAATTTCAACGTGTTTTTTCTTCACTTGCATGCTTGCAAGGAAACTTCCTAAAAGGTCATTTATCTCTAAATTGGTCCAAACCAAGTACCTTTAACTGTGGAGTTCTTACATAATGAACTACTAAAAAGTAAATACATCTTGTTGGTATATATTGTACAAATTAATTCTTTTAAGTCATCATCAATTACATAGTTTCAGACATGTACAAATCTTTGGATCCCTTTCATTCTGGTGTGTCCTCAAATTCTATCTCTTTCTTTAGAATTGAAGCTTGGTGCAAAGAGGGAACTCGCACCCATTGTTCCCGATCTTGATTAGCGAATGCTAAATCAAGTGATGAAATGCTTTTGTAATCTTGAGTTGGCTTTCTTTAGTATGTGTAGCTAGCTTTCTCCATGTTGGGATCAAATGTAATCAATCAACTTCATGTATTTCTTTTGATCAATATATATATATACTTATTTTTGTTTACTTCCATCAATGATTCTTTTCTACTTTGTGACATAATTTATAATCTTGGTTTGATTGGAAAATAGTCCTTGAATCAATAATTGAATTAAATCACTTGATGCATTGGATTCTAAGAATAAAGCTTCATTCATTAGATGTGTAAATTGTCAAAGTTGATGTGAGATTATTTGTTAGTCATGGTTGTTCTATGAAAATATTTAAAACTAAATATTAAGGGATCAATGTTTAAATATTTACGTCAATTGCATTAATGGGATAAATATAAACTAAGCGTGAAGTTTAGTTCCAATAGTCTCAATATATTAAATTAATTAATGAGACAACAATAGTCAACCTTCTAGGCTACTCTTGTTTGTGACCCCCCTACAACCAAACTCCTCTATCGCGCCACTCCTCATAAACCCATTCATTTTTTGCCAAGGTGACAAACACACTATCCTAACACAAAGGGACTTACTTCTCTACAAAATATGTGACGCACATCTTTTTGCCCGAAGAACGAGTCTAATTGGTAACACTCATTCTAGCTACAACAATATGGAAAAGTAGAAACAATGGGAGCCCCTTATGGTCAAAACCAAAATTCATCAGTATAAAAGGCTAAAGATGGGAACTTTGTGAGACTTAGTTGGTGGGCCTTTGAGATAAATGACAACCTCGTCCTACAGAGACTCAAAATTTTGGTCGAGGACGAAGATGCACGAAATAAGGTTTTCATTGTTTGCTAAGGTTTTGTGTGTGAGGAAGGGCTTGACCCTGACGATAACCAATTACAAACAAGGTAATTTGTCTATTTAAGAGTAGTATTCTAGTTTTCTAAATTTATGGACAGGACACTCTGCCATTTTATATGTTGTTGTTGCCCAAACTTCACTCTCGACTATTTAAGAAGTCTACGATACCAATAAGCGCGATAAATTTCTCATGAAACTTCGCTCGAAGTTTGAGGCTGTCAGAAGTGCTTTACTGAATAGGAATCCTATTCCGTCTTAACTAAATAGGAAGAACAACATTTACTTACCCAAGGATCCATGTCTCATGACGATGTTTTTTCTAAACCTGTCACGGTTGCATATGCTGACCAGAGTAGAAGTAAAGGTGTGATATGCGACAGGTCCAATGCTTTTCTTGCAAATAATTTGGTCATATTGCTCATAATTGTAATAAGAAGTTTTGCAATTATTGCAAGCAACATGATCATATCATCGTTGACTATCCCACACATTCTCCACGACCAACACAACTTCATGTACAAGCATTCCATGCCACTACCAATGCAACAACTTGTCCTCCTATCTAAGGTACATCTGATGGTGGTGCTCTACAGCCTGAAATGATTCAACAAATGGCGTTTTCAGCTTTTTCAGCCTTGGGCATTTAGGGTAATTCATCTAATGTTTCTCATCCATGGTTTCTTGATTCTAGTGCATCCAATCACATGACAGATTCCTCTGAATACTTGCATAATGTATATTCTTATCATGTTAATCAAAAAATTCAAATTGTTGATGGTAATACTCTTTCTATCACTA